AGCTCCTTCCCTAGGAACTACACTCAGCATCTCAGCATCAAGCCACCAGAGCTTTAAACTGGGTCTGTGAGCGTTTCTGTGCTTTACCTTGATTTATTTTGTGCATTCATTAGCAAGATGTGTCCTAAGGTATCAGAGAAGCCTGAGAGCTTGTAAGGGCATTTACACTTAGCGTAAAACTGGACAAAATTAATCATTTTGATTGTGGTGAACAAAATAAAGACATTGTGAGAGCACTGAATTTTTCCACATAAATGGATGGTAATTGCTTCTTTGCTTTACACCATTTTGGCTTACAAGAAATTTTATAGGAACACTCTACTTTTGGATAGCAGAGATAAGCTGTCTACTTTTGATGATTTTAAAAAATGGACTATACATGCAAAAAAGACCTTGACTAGGACTTTCAAATACATGTGGACTTTTTTTCCAGCATATCTTTCTTAATGACTTAAAGAGCACAGAGCTAGAGCCACACTGCCTGGACTAGGATTCTAGTGCTAGCACTGACTAACTGTGTAATCTTGGACAAGTAATTTAACCTCTCTGTGCCTCAGTTTTATGTCCTATAACATGGGGATAATGTTTACTTCATAGGGTTGTTATGAGGATTCGATGAGTTAACATATGTAAAGCACTTAAATAATGCTTTCCGTTTAGTGTTTGCTGTTATATTAAAAAATATTTTGATATTATTATCCCTTCCTCCCCTCGCCTAACTTAGGCAGTTCATTCATTCCCATTGGGGAAGGGTTGTTTCAAAAAGGAAATAAGAGTCTCTTCTTGGTCTTTGAATTTCAAATGCCTAACTCTCAGAAAACAGAAATGACTCAGAGCAGAGTGAAAAATATAAACAAGGCTCAGTCAGCAGCAAAAAAACCCAAACAATCCAATTAAAAAATGGGCAGGAGACCTGAATAGATACTTCTCCAAAGAGGAAATATAGATGGCTAACAGATATATGAAAAAGATGCTCAAGGTCACTAATCATCAGAGAAATGCAAATTAAAACCACAATGAGATATCACCTCACACCTGTCAGGATGGCTACCATCAATAAATCAAAAAACAGCAAGTGCTGGCGAGGATGCGGAGAAAAGGGAACGCTCATACATTGTTGGCGGGATTGCAAATTGGTACAGCCACTATAGAAAACAGTAAGCATGTTCCTCAAAAACTTAAAAATGGATATACCTTTTGACCCAGCAATTGCACTTCTGGGTATTTAACCAAAGAAAATCAAAACAATAATTTGTAAAGATCTGTGCACTTCAGTATTCATGGCAGCACAATTTACAATAGCCAAGATACAGAAGCAATCTAAATGCTCATCAACAGACGATTGGATAAAGAAATTATGGTTCA